TGCATTTCCACAAGAATATGGTCTTCAGGAATGCGGTAAGCATTTTACAAAATTAATATACTGCACCTATCGAACAGCACATTTGGATGTTATGCCATACTGAACATATATATGTTGATCATTTTTATAAGTGGTAATTGCACATTTTGTACCATGTGTGCATTTAAATCAGTATCCAAATTCAAACCTTTAAAACCTTTGCACTTTGTATTTTTAGGTTGGCCAATCACTGAGGAACAGCTTCAAGAAGCAGCAACAGCATCAGGTGTTTTGAATGTGCCAAATGAGCGATTTATTCCACACCCTGAAAAGATTGAATCTTCGGAATGCAAAGACGCATTTATTTTTTTAAAAGAAAGAGTCAATGTTTAAAGTTAAATATACTTTGCAATATTTACATATATTTTATGTAAATCACATATATATATATATATATATATATATATATATATATATATATATATATATATATATATATATATATATATATATATATATATATATATATAACCGCTACATAACGCAACACGAGTGGAATCGTCAACGTGGGAAACCACAACATTCACATACAACATTGCCAGACTAATAGCTGGCTTTACGCATTGAAGGACTAACCTCCGAAATGCGGCTAACATCATAACTTAACACGTCGTTCTCAGCTTGACCTTGTAGCTCAGACGGTAGAGCATCGTTCTAGAAATACGAAGGTCGCGGGTTCGAATCCCAGCCGCGGTCAAGTAGAATTTTCTGCTTGCCCGGTTTGGTATACACTCGTATGAAAACAACTCAAAAACCACTACATATATATATATATATATATACATATATATATATACACATATATATATATATATATATATATATATATATATATATATATATATATATATATATATATATATATATATATATATATATTAGGCTCATCCATAGTTATCAACATTTTCAAAAGTATAGAAAGCTTAGTTCAGGAGGAAGAGGTCAATTTTAACGACAATGTATGTCTTGAGAAGAGAATATAAAATAATGACGAATGCATATCCACTGTGTAGGTGTATATCTCTGTGCATGCAACCACTGTATTTATATCAAATTTCAATTGGGGGGGGGGGTCAGAAAAAAGCATACACTCTGGAATGGCAGTTTAACCCAGGAATAGAGGGATGTCTGGCCACATTTGATAGCTATTAATAAAACTGTTATCTACCAAAACCTAATCGTCAAGGCAAACCTCCCTCTATGCCCAATTGTTTTCCTGCACTTTGTAGGCTTTTAAAAATGCTGATATAAGTCAAGGATGACCCCAACTTCAAAAATAGATTATTTTTCTCTTGTAATAAGCAACAAAAAGTGTGACTTTCTGTTTGAATGCGTATGAATATATTTCTAATTTGAGCTATAATGAAAAAATTATTGTAGACCTAGGCACATAACGATTGAAAACAAAAGCTTTTAGTAAAACTATATGTTCTTTACAAATCCAAGTGAAATGAAGATATAAACTTTAAATGTGTAACATCAAACTAGAAAGTAAACTAAAGTAATAGTTGCAAGTGTGCATAATTATGTCACATTAACATTTGCACAAAAACACCATAACATAACAGTCTTACTGTGCATAACATACAGTAACACAGGGATGGATTTACTATTGGGTGCGGGTGCACATTTGGTGATCTGTTTAAGTGTTGGGGAATTAATGTTATGTAAGGATATTAGCACCCAAATAAATATTTTGCTGAGACTCTCATCATAGATATCTTATAGTTCATCTAATTATTCTGCAATTAAAAACTTGAAGCTGTGATTCAAGTCTCAGGTCATTCCCATGAAATGAGAAGATTCATATGTTTTCTATTTCTTAAACAGGGAACTTAAACATTAAATTGAACCTATTCCAAATACATTTTTAGACTATTCGAATGATGAAAGTTATTGCAGTTGTTTTTTAAGCATTTATTAGCTAGTGGGAACTACCAACATGGCCACCATCTATTCAAATGGGAGTAACCACTGGAATATTCTTGGCTTCAATTTTACTAAAAGAGATGCGCTATCTAGTGTACAGTCAATATAAGATATCTATGACTCTGACCAACTAAACACCATATATTGTTTCATTTTTAAAAATTTCTGAACAAACATAATCCTAATATCCATACAACTGGTGTTAATTTGCACCCAATGCCCTGCTTGAACCCCCTTCCCCGCCTAAAAATTGTGTTGGATCCATCCCTGGCATAACATAACATAGCCATGTTAGTCATAACATAACAGGCATAACATAACATAACAGTCATAACATTCATAACAGTCTTACTGTGCACCAGCTGTCCACTTTACGATTGTGGTTTATTCAGGAGTATTTTAAAATTCTGTTAAACCAACAAGTTCACAATAAATGTTGCAATTATGCTCTCTCACAAATGTGGTTATTGCACTGAATGTCATGTTTCCTGTTGAAAAGAGGTACTCGTCATCCTCTTGCAATTCATATGAGGCAATTTCCGGGTCAAATAACTTATGGCTGCTGCCCTGGATATCAACCACCATCAGCTTCTCAAGGGATCTCACATAGGAATAATGAGACAAGCTCTCAGCTTTCATGCGGATGTAGGTTGAAGTGCCACAAAGAGTTCCATCATTATTGATGTACTTGTCAAAGCTTCCTTTAACAAACTCTTCAACAGTAACAAATTCACCATCATCCATCTTTCCCAGGTAAATATTGTTGTAAGACATAAACTCACCATACACCTCTTCATTATTTCGCTTGTACTGACACCTCTTGCTGGAGTTGCTTGGCAAAATTTCGTGCAAGTAGGTGCATTTGCACCACCTTCCTTGTGTGCTGCTCGGGAGTCTGATTTGTCGCCTTAATATTCTCCAACGCATTTGCTAAATACTTCTTGACTACCCAAGTGGAAGTGTTGAAGTCATCTCGACGACTTGTTGCAGAGAATGCTTCACGAAAGCCCCCTACACCGATTACCACTGGGTTTATAACAAACTCAACACAACGAAATTCAGGAGACCACTCCATCTGATTTATATAAAAACTTGACAGTTCAATAATGGTGGATGGTTTTTCTTTTATCACTTTGCCCAGTTTCAACATATCCACCACAGACAAACTTTTTGGGAAAGTGCAACTTGACTTAACAGAGGTTGATCGTGCAGATTGTTGTGGTTGGAGGGAAATTGGATGGGTACGTCTTCTTTTTATAGGTAGCCTTGTAGATTTTTCTTTCGAGTAAACTTCCAACTGTGGTGACTGTGTCTGTGAATCTACTTCAGCTTTCTCAATAATCCTCAAATGGATTACTTTCAGATTGGGGATTTGCTCTAGCGATTGACATGATGGCCCTTGCTCCCCTGCCAGTATATCGCAGCATGTATTATCCTTTAATTTGGACTTGAAGAATCTCTCGCAAGCTGCCTTGATATTGTCAAAGGTGACCTCGTCGTAGTGGAAGGGCACAAATACCCTCGGTCCCATCCTCGAATACTTTTGTGCTTTACCACAAACTTCAGATGAAAGTTGTTGCACCACAATTTCATCTTTAATCCAGTCGAACTTTTTTATATTACTTGTCTTTTTGCTATTCTTTTTTTCTTTCATTGCAGTCTTGAATTCTTTCCATGCGGCGGCCATCTTGAATACAAATGACGGATAGCACGTGGAAACACTGACGCGCGCAAAGCATCATGGTGTACTGTGGCAGCGATAGGCTTTAGAGAATTTTAATTTTACTTTGATTTGTGTTTTAGTTTGCTTTTAACTTTATTTCTTATTCAATTTTCATTTACATTTGTAAATGAAAATGATACTTATTATTTTTTACTTTATTTTTTTATTGTAAATGTATTTTAATTTTAATTTAAAACACTTTTTATTAATTCTGAAAAAAAGATATGAGTAAAATTTGAGTGGCAGCGATGGGCTACCATACACCTTGTTTGAACGCCCAACCATTCAGTGTGTATAAAAAGACGACAGGTGCAAAAATCTCTTCTCGTTATGCGTATTTAGTCAAGTAAAGTTGGTATACACCCTTCAGAAGCTAAGAATCATGCATTGACACGCGAATATGCAGGTTTCTCAAAGGTGGCAATCAAGGGTTGGTAGTTTTTACAGCATAGGCTGCCGTGCTTTGTGCCTGCACTACCTAAACATTAGCAAACTTAAGCACGTGACAAGAAACAGCCTTAAATGCACTTTCAAAATTATAAAGAACTACTGTTATTAAGAACTTCAACGAGCTGGGTGCAAGTGCAACGAGGCCCGTAGTCAGCTATTAATTAAATCCCGCGGGAGTTTATACGTCGCCATTGGTCTGTTTACAACGGCAAAATATGGATTATCACGCCTTGTATACAACGTTTACATTTCAAGCTGGGACAACTGCTGCTTTCAATTAGCCTTTCTCACGCCGCCATTTTTGGGTGGTTTTTCAGCCGAAGTCTGCAAAATAAGCCCACATATAACAGCGACTTTTTATAATTTTGTGGACGTATGATGGTAAATTTGCTTTGTAAATGGTTAGTTTATTTTGAAAAATTGCTTTTCACATTGTTTTAATTATCTGCATTGGTTAACGAGAATTAGATGCCACCCAAAAATGGCGGATATTCGTCATCGTGAGAAAGGCTAATTGGGTCCAACCATTGAACTATAAGTAAACTGGAACGATAAGTTCGCCGCCATCTTTGACGCCGGTTATGAGTGTTTTCTGCAGGTAGCCCCAGTCCTTTTTTACAAAATGGATGCGAAAAATACCGCTTAAAAATCGTTAATATTTTCTCACTTTTACTTCTTTCAAGGCATTATATTTATCTCAAAGCACACTTAGACAACACATCTTTTATTTAAGGCACATAAAATAAGCAAATATCGTTTAGCTGCCGAAATATGACACGAACACAACGAAACTCGGAAAAAAACTGTGCTAAAATTTATGGTTTTTCTGAGTTTTTAGACTTTCCAGAAAGAGTTCAGATACAATTTTATACAATTTATGTAGAAAAATCTTAGATACAGTTGTTAATGGATGTCCACACATCCAGAAACCTACTTTAATAAGTTAAAATTAAAGATTAAATTAGTAAAAATACTTCGTAAAAAATTCAGTATTTATTTTCGTATACGTTTCATTTGTTTTCGTATACATTTCGTTATTTTCTTAACCACAATGCCTGTGTTAATATGGATCCTTAAAGGCTTAAACTGTATTATTTTTCATGACTACAGGTTTTCTTCTGTAATAATTTATTTTATCATTTAGTTCAACGAGTTTGTTTACTTATAGTTAATAGAAATAAGCATGGTTAGGAAGGCCAGTAAACTTAAAAAAATTTCCTATTCAAACTTCAACTGATGTTGAAATGTAATTCCGAGTGCACACATCTTCTGTCTTGCGTTTAGTAGTATTCAAATATTACGGTTAAGCGATTAAAACTAAGGTTTTTATTTGGTAATCGCCTCATTATACAGAAACCGAGTGCACAAATTTCCATAAACTTGGACAAAAACATAGAACAATGACTTTTGTCAAACTTCCGAACCATGTTTATTTTCTACTAACTATGGTTACTATCGCCGTTGCGTTCTCTTAAGATCGCTATTATAAAACAACGACGTTTCAATCGAAGGCCCTTGATCAAGAGTTTGGTAATATATTGAATTTAAATCTTGTTTACATTGAATTCAGGTACCAATGCCCGCCCTTCCAACAGAGACCACCACGGCTAGGATACCTGCAAAACTAATCTTGACCATTTCTTCTATATAGTAACAAGATTGAGCGAAAATGCCTGTCCCGCTTGGAAGTGAAGACGAACATAAAGCCCGGGTCAAGGACGTGGATCCTCTTGACAACGACAAGCTGGTAAATCGCCAACCAAATGATGTCTCACCAAACCACCAAGCACATGCCAGAATGTATGCAACCCATGCACCCCTACCTATAACCTCTCGCGATGAAACAAAGACAAACGGGAATCACGCTCATACAAAAGCCTTAGACGAGAAGAAATTTTATTTTCCTCCGTTTAATATAAAACAACGCGCCCAAAGTCTACCCAATGCAGCAAAACAATCCCCTTCTATTTTCGCTGAAAAAATAAAAAACCATTGTGTGGTTGACCCGCATCATGGCCATAAACATTACCATAACCATGAATACCATCATCAACTCGGTAACAATGAGAAAAACAACGTGGTTCGCTGTACAGACAATTCGTGCACAGAACGTGACGAGAATCCTGAATTCGAGTTAGATTGCGCCGAAGAGTTGCAAAACGTTGTTAAAGCTCATGATAGCATGATTATCCACGAAGCACCCCTGCAGACGACGAAAATTCGAGTGCAGAATATTTGTTGTCCTAAGGAGGGGCGTATCGTGCAAGAGGAATTAGGCAAGCTACCGGGGATTAATACGATACGAATTGATATTCTCTGCCGTGTGGCATATATATCACATGATCAGAACAAAGTAACACCTCCAGAAATGCTGGAAACCTTGAACAAACGCCATTTTGGGGCGTCCATTGTGGATGCGGGGGCGGAGACGGAGGTCGATCATGGCTTTCCTAGACAGCTTAAAATCCTCCTTGCAATCCTAGCTGTACAAGCTGTCTTATTCAGCATCGCGCTAGCAGCTATGTTCTCTCATGCCTCCTGGTACATGTGCGTTGCTATTGTTCAAATTTGCTTCGGAATGTTGCTGGTGTTAAAGAAGTGCTATCACGCAATCTACCATCTGCAGATCGATTTGAATGTTCTCATTACTGTAACTGTGATAGGCACGCTGGGCATTCGGCAGTGGATTGAAGGCGGAGCTGTGGTATTTACGTTTATTCTGGCGAACTTTCTGCAGGAGTTCTGTTTCCATAGCGTCCACAAGATTATCTCAAGTCTCATGCTAGCTAAGCCTTTGAAGGCAGTTATGGCCTGCACAGGGGAATTGGTACCCCGTGAAGACGTTTCTATTGGTATGTATTGATTGAAAATTAGTCTCGGTCCCTTTAACAGAGTTTAACAATTTTTTTGGTTACAAACAGCAAAGGATAAATATAAAATTCCAGTAAGTGACTTACAAACAAGACATAACCAAGAAGAAACAAATTTTATTCTCTTCTGTTCTGTCTTGTTTGAAAGTCATTTGGTAGTCTTTTTTACATAACTTTAAATTTTTCCAATGACTTATTTTTAAATGGTGGGTGTGGCTGTGTGGCTGCCCAATTCAACCAAGCCAGTGTGCTTGATGTTTAAAAATCCGGCGAAAAACCATCGAAACACAGGGGAAAACTACTGCACACATAAAAACGCACAAGTTGTAACAAACCTGCACAGTCTTTTAGCAATGCTGTTCCAAAAACGTTTCAACAGGATTTGTTGGCACTGCTTTTTTTCAGCTTGTTGACAATTTATCAACGGCTTGTACGTTCTTTTGTACAATTTGCTACGAGGTTGTTGAGCTCAACAGAATTTTTCCAACTTAATTGTTCCAATAACTTGTTATCGTCTTGCAATGCAACAATTTGTCAATAAGTTGTGAGTGACAACTTTGTAGCAACTTGATAAAATAACAGCATTGTTACAACTTGTTGAAAAGCTTGCTACAAGCCTTTTACGTGTTTAGACTGTAGTAGATGCATTTTCAAGCATGTGCAAACCGCACTGTCTCTTCATTCTCCTGAAACTGAGTCGTAGAATGAGGTATAGTCCTTATATTTTGAGCACAAATATATTTCTCTTTGATCTTAACCCGAATCATAGGCCCAAACCTATTGGCCCGAATATGAGCCATAACCTATAATAAAACGAGGGAGGAACGCTACCTGCCAGTCATTTTAAAGATATAATTTTTCGGGATTTCGAGTTGATGTGGAGCAAGTTTAAAGCTTGGAGACGTCTATGGAACCATGACCTTTCGGTCGTTAAACTTTAGGTTAACTAAGTAAGCAAGTGGAGAGCGTTACCCGCCTCAAACGCTGTACTAACAGTATATGTGCTGGAATGAAACAGGCTAGTGCTGATGGTCTACCAAATAAGACGAAGAAACCAGATCAAGAAGGGATAACAGAAGAAGAGGAAAATACTTTTTGAGAGAAAAGTCTTCTCGGTTCTCAGACAGCTAAGTCCCTGCTACATACAATTTACTTTTATAACGGAACGTTGTTTAGCATCCAAAGTAACGAGAACAGGAATTTTACGATATGTCAACTTCAGAGTTGAATCTAATTGTATAATCTATTATGAGAGTTTATCTAAAACCTATCATGGCGGCCTTGAAGATCTCAAATACAAGCCGCGTGTTGTCAGACATGTTTGTTGACAAAGAAAATTGCGAGTTAGGACATTCTCGATGCCTTGTAGAGTGTTATAAGAAGTATCTGGAGCATATAAAAACGTTATCCGAGGAAAAAGATGCGTTCTATTTCAAACCAAGTTGTTATCGCAGATCTCCTGTGGGCATTAACACTCCTTTGGGCATTAACACTTTACCAGATAAACTTTGTGGCGCGGCCTGTTTAAAGAAGCAAACCTCGCACAGTCTAAAATCAAAATTGTGTACAAGAAACATTAATTAGAGAGCGTACTGGTCATCGTTCCAATGCTTTGTTCGGTGGGGGGGGGGGGGTGAATAGGTTTTCGGATCGTCGGATTTCACAGAAAAAAAATATTCGGATTTCGGATCTGGCGAATATTTTACACGGATTTGCGGATCTTATTAATACAGCGGATTGCGGATTTATCTAATATTTTGGCTCGGATTGTGGATTTGGCTTGCAATTTAGTTCGGATCCTGGATTGTGACTTCATAGTAGAGCTTTTAGCGGATTCAAATTTAGACAAGACCATTGTCGGATCGCGGATTTTGCTTCAAATTTGGGCGGATCGGCGGATTTGTATACCCCTATTCACCCCCCCCCCCCTTTTAGGGCCTCCGGAGCTTCCTCTTGTTGATTTCGATTTTGATGTTTCAGATGACATACTATTAAGCAATCTTGAGATGCCCGCAAATGAAACGTTATCAAATGTTACCAATAACTTATCGAACTGTGTTTTCAATAATCAGTACATTTAAATAGTGGATTTTTGTAAGAATAGTTGAGTGACTGATAGCATTAAAAATTAAGCGTTGTTGTGTGTATATAGTATAAAATTGTGGTTATGTAATCTGATTAATTAAAATGTAACAACCATGCAGCATAATTCTAATTCTTTATGAAAAATCTTTATATAAAAATCGTTATATAAAAATCTTTATATAAAAATCTTTGTATCAAATTCTTTATATAAAAATCTTGACGTAATTTGCATAACAATCGTTTTTTGCATTATTGCATAGTAAAGTGTTCTTTAGCTGGTTTTAAGACGCGTGCACGTGACTAATTTCCCACCCAAGATTGGATAATTGCTTCATGAATAATTAATGATTTTAAATAAAATGATTTCAAATTCTCGCATGCAATTAACTTTGCTTTCTTTTTTATTTAAACAATTTAATATAAAAAATCAGTGAGTATGACCAGCCACGCACAGTAACCCATACGCGGGCGATCATTGATGAACTTTAAACTTCGCTAAAACTTCGCTAAAGCTTTCCTTTTTCTGGGGGTAAATAGCCGGGCGGACTTAGTACCTCCCCGGGCTTACCGTAAACCTCCGAATATAAGCCCCCCCGAATATAAGTCCCCCATCTATAAGCCCACCACATGTACTAACGCTCACTGCGTTCCAAATATAAGCCCTCCCCCTTCCGAATATAATCCCCTCGAATACAAGCCCCCCGGATATAAAGTAGCCCACTACGTTATTCAATATTGACATTGTCTTTTAATATAGCAGAGAACGATATTTAAAAACATTGTCATTGTCTTTATAGCTTACTATGTTAATCAAAGAGCGTTATTAATACTGCAACGTTATATATTTTATTTATCTTATGTATAAACTACATTTAACTTTACTTTATAACTCAACTATGCTCAGTCCTTGTTCAACGTTCCTTCGACGTTCCATGTGCTCGCATGCACGAGTCACGTGATATCCTTACAAATACATGTTTATTTTCCTGTTTATGACTGACTTGTTTATGTCTGACTTGTTTATTACTAACACAAAAGATCGTCCATGTATAAGCACCCCGTATATAAGCCCCCCTCCCCTTGTATAAGCCCATCAAAAATTGCTTACGAAAGTATATCAGCCATTTTTATCATACTTGTAAATGTTTGGGTTTTTTGTTTTATTTTCTGCTAGAAATGGCTGTATCTTATAGTCAATGAAATTTGCACTGTATTTCATTTTCGAAAACATTGCACTGCTCTTAGCCAATCAGAATTGAGAACTTTTTTCATGTATATTTTTAGCGATAAAAAGTGCTCAAAATGTCCTAAAAAATCACATTGCTTTAGATTCATTTTGTAGTTTACACAGTTAGCTACCTTTTTGTATCTGGCGGTTGATAAACACAAATATTGTCCTGAATTTAAATACAATTATCATTGATACTGTAAAATAGACGCCATATTTATACAGTACTATTAAGCAAAATTTACTGAACTTCAGACATTGTTTTCTCTTTGGTGTACCATCTAAAATCTCTTCATTTTAGCATTATTTTACAGATAATGAAACATCAATCAAAAATGATAAAAAATTGAATATAGTCATCACGTGTTCATAGTTTTGAAATATATAATGAATTAGTAAGTTTGCATTATTTTCTCATCCTGATAACTGTGGGTTGACCACCATGCATATATGCTGCATGATCGTGCATGTTTAGTAAAACCCACCTATCTAATAAGGAATTTCCAACCGCACAACATTTTCCTGGCTTTTATTTAGGTTCAATAATAGCAGTGCGTCCAGGTGAAATGATTCCTTTGGATGGAGTAGTGGTGAAAGGCAGCGCATCTGTGGACGAGAGCTCAATCTCAGGAGAAGCTGCGCCCGTGGAGAAAACCCTGAAGTCCCAAGCATACAACGGTACTGTTATCGAACGTGGCTACCTTGAATTGGAGACAACCTCCTCAGCAACATCATCAACAATTTCAAAAATTGCCGCGTTGGTGAAAGACGCACAGTTGAATGTCTCGCCAACTGAAATAATGATAAATAAATTTGCGAGCTACTACACCCCCTTGGTCGTGCTACTCGCCGCCATAGTCTTTCTAATACCATTAATTTTGCATTTTTCTGGTGCGTTCGGCGGAAGTATTATGACTTGGGGCGAACGAGCCCTCATCGTGTTGGTCACCGCTTGTCCATGCGCTCTCCTGATGGCCACGCCTGTGGTAGTTATCTGTGGAATAAGCGGTGCGGCACGCCTCGGTGCGCTGATAAAAGGAGGCACTTTTCTCGAAGCTCTCTCCCAAATTGAATTTCTTGCCTTTGATAAAACAGGGACTTTGACCGAAGGAAAATTTCAGGTGAGAATACTGCAAATGGGTTGATTTATATATATATATATATATATATATATATATATATATATATATATATATATATATATATATATATATATATATATATATATATATATATATATATATATATGTCTGCCGCGGCTAGGTCTTGAACCCGCGGCCTTCGAATTACTAGATCGACGCTCTACCAACTGAGCTACACGGTCAGACGGATTTAAGACTGGAAATTATGAAATATATACTGAATGTCATAAACATACTCGTTTATATTAATATTTATATTAATCTGCGTAATATAGGCAAGATCAACATGGCCATCACAAAAAATTAAGATTTCTAGCAACATTCGCTTACATTTCTTAAATGTTGAATTTACTCATAATACGTATTGATAGAGGTGATTATTCAAAAT